GATCAATGCTTCTCTCTGTGATTTAGTTAAACGCTTCTTTTATTTCTTTTGCTGTTTCATATGGCTACGAGATATCTAACAAACGTGCAATTTTACAGATATGAGCCAAAACAACTTTACAGCTGCCACCTTATTTACAGGATAATACTTAGTAAAACACTGAGCAACTTTCTCAATAAGACCAATCCTGGAACTTGCTTTCTGACAGCAGGTGTTTCTAGCCAGAGACCTCTAACAGGGTGAAATGAGCAGCGTCACGACAAAGCCAACATAATGGGTTTGCAACCAGCATGGATCCAGACAAGCCTCTGCATCCGCGCTGTCCGATCAGGATCCATGCTGTTCGCTACCAGTTTCTCTACTTGTTACAGGGTTGGTAAGCGAACAGCATGGATCCTGATCAGACTGTGCGGATGTGCAGGCTGGTCTGGATCCATGCTGGTCGCAAACCCATTATGTTGGTTTTGTCGTGACGCGGCTCAAATAATTGTTACAGGCAAATGTATTTACACAATGTTAACATAATGGTTATAAGAAAACTTTGGAGACTTAATATCCCAAAATATTTTTCTGGCTCATAATAAAACTTGGAGATTAAATATTCACAAATATTTCTCTGAATCACAAATTCACTTTTCCATGGACATAATTAATTTTTATTTATCATGGTTCATACCAAATTCTCAAATCAAAATTCAAGGACTTTTCAAGGACTTTTCAAGGTAAAATTGTCATTTTCAAGGCATTTTTTCCCCCGATTGATCTTATTTAAAATTATACTTTAACAACCATATCTGTGATACACATTTTTATTGCAATTGATCTTATTTAAAATTATACTTTTACAACCATATCTGTGATATAAAACATGTAAATAAAACATGTGTATTTCAATTTAAGGTTCAAATGACTAGAATGTTTTGACAATCTGACTATCCGGAAACATGGCCTTGAACAGTTTCTCAATATCAGTGTTTGAATTGTATGAGTGGTGATTACAAATTGTGTGTAATGTCCACATAACTTCAGCCTTTTTTGTATCAGCCTTTGAAATGAACGGAGATATTCCTGCTTGATTACTGGACACACAGGGGACATTTTCTTGATTACTAGAAGTGGGTGGGGGTGGTATTGTCATGTCATGCACAGTTTCCGTTGTGGATTGGGATGGCACAATGTTATTATTTGAATCAGATCTACTGCAATTTTCAGTTTTGACATTTATAGTTCCTTCCTGTCTGACAAATGCAAGGCCACACTTCGTCAATGACGACTTGATGTCTAGATTTTTTAGGTGCTTTGCACGGAAAAGAGTCAACTCGGCCCTATACCAACTCGGCACGGGTCAACTCGGCCCACTTTACAAAAATATATAGGCCTATATAACGTTTTTACTTTGCTTTGCATGTTGTTAAGGTAAATGAATAATAAGAAATATCTTATTATTATTATTTTTATATAATTATACATTGTACCTCTGCCGAAATAAAGTATATTTAGAAAAAAAGTTATTTATTTGTCTTGCAGATTCGATGAAATTAAAAAGTTTGTAAAGTAATTTTCAAAAAAATATGAAACAAAAACGTGTTTACTTAATAGCATTAGCTTCTAATTAATTGCAGGTGGTCACTTATCAAATTTGAATGAATGAGTCAATCATAATTATCACCTAATTAATTGGTATCCTTAACATACACATTGATTGATAATAATACCCCTTGACAATAGGAGTCCTTTGATGTCTTTTACACATATTTAAAAGTGGGCCGAGTTGACCCGTGCCGAGTTGACTCGGGGGCCGAGTATGTTTTAGGGCTGAGCTGACCCAGATTCCTTTGCACCCCTCGCATGCGATGTTAATGCACTCTCTCCCATTTGCGACAAATCGATGGTTTTCATACACATGGTACATTGTGCTTTTCGTGGGTCTTGTATAACTTGTTTTACCCAACTGTATTGTTGAAGCCATTTGAGCTGAAACGTACATTTCTTAGTGTATTTTCCCATTTTTTACTTCGCAATGGAAGCTGACATTTTGTACACAATTTGCGATGACGTCATACACAAGTGCTTGTTAAAATCCGTGCCAAAACCGTAACGCTGGCTAAACACTACTAAAACAGATCCAAATGGGCGCACTCAATCGGGCTGCCTTCGTTCACATGTCCGGTTTGTAGCGGAAAATTTGCCTGACCATTACAGCGACAGGTTTTATACCCTTTTGGATTTTCAAGGCATTTTACCGAAATTCAAGGGGGTTTACTGAAATTCAAGGACAATTTTAGTGTTTTTTCAAGGCAACCCTGAATTCAAGGACTTTTCAAGGTTGAAACCAAATTCAAGGACTTTTCAAGGCCCGTGCGAACCATGTTTATGCTATGAGAAAATCTCTTTGTCCACCAGTAAAAAACACCAAGCATGATGAGTTTAGCTTAGGATTCCCTCGACATACCATATACCCACCCCTGGCACAAAAAGAACAACAATTTATTTGCAAGCTCATTATAAGTAAACTTTACCTTGACAGTTCTGTCCAGTGACGCACTAGCAAATGTGTTGTTGTCTTTTGGGTTTATAACAATCTGCATCACATAGTGTGTATGCCCTTCAAAAACTTGTGTACATGTCCATTTTTTCTCCCAGTCCCAAAGCTTGATCAACATGTCATCTAAAATAAGTTCAATGGCACAACAGTGACAATAGGGTCAGCATTTGATAATGAACTCAAGCTTTAAATTGATGGGAAAAAAATCTGATATTTATTGGAAAAATAGTAACCAGTAATTGCTCCCTTTGGTTCACATTTTACATTCTTTTAACATTTCTCTTAACTGGGTTTCAAGATTATATGGTGAATTTCTACAAAGATTTGAGTGTCTGTTTAACTAGTGACTGTTAGGGTACTGGCTACAACTGAATCAAACCATACATCAAGTGTACAGTAAGATCAGCCTGCACATCGTCCCTGTCTGATCATGGTTTAAACTGTTTGCCTTCAGTCAGTGGCTTTTTAGTTTACATTTTTTCCCTAAAATAATGAATAGTTAAGTCCAGACTGAAAGATGGGCAAGTCTATTCAAGATATTTAGCAATTCAAAGGTTAATACTGGCTGGAAAGTATGCCTAGATAAAACCTTGAAAGCTTGCCCTTCAATGGTTCTTAACTTTGATAAATGAGATGGGCATCTATGAAAACATAGCATCTGTTATATGGGAGACCCTTTCTGTAATAATTTCATACAATTAACCACTAGTAAATGGTTATTTTTCTATTATTCTCTAATGACACTGTTATAATGGCTGTGTAATGAGGCTTTATTCTCAGGAACAATATAAAAATATATAATGAGGCATTACTCTCAATGAATATTATACAGAACGAGTCTGTGTAACCTATTTATGTATTTACAAGGAGAGCTTACCACTACTGGTTAAGAAGAAAGGCTGTGTCGGGTGGACTGCTATGGCTCGGATATAGTCACTATGAGCTTCAAACTGATGCACCCTCTCTAACGTGTTGTAATTATAAACTCTTACATGCATGTCATCCTGTAGGGGAGGAAACAAACATCAAAGTCAGCTTTTAAATTTTACTCCCCATCAACTAATGAAGGTCCTAAGCACATTGAAAAATATCCCACATCAACAGATTAGTGTTGAGGTTCAATTAACCTAACAAAGTTTCTAAGGGGTTATACTATTTGAAATGCAAAATGGGTCCCTAACAGGACATCAAGTATATTGAAACATTTGCCAGATAAAAAGCTATTGCAGAATTCAGAATAAAATCAAATGAAACTAGAGTGTAATATTTCTTCATGAATCATGAAAATTTCAAATATTTTTTTTACAGTTAACTTACTACAGTCAGAAAGACAGCACAATATCACAGAGATAAAGGTATATCTAATGCAATCTACCACTTACATTAATTAAGTTAGAACCATTCCTAGCATTTAAAATAGATAATAGAATACTTACAGAACCTGTGATGACCCAGTTTTTCCTTGGCACAAACCGAGCTGTTCTAACTGGCAGATCACATACTTCAAATGATTTGATCAGTTGCTACAACAGAAACGATTCAACACTGAGAAACTGTCCTGTTATATAATAACTCAAAGTTTTGTGATCTTCATAATCTAGTGTATCATGATACAAGATATTGATGTTTAGATCTAAACTTAGACTTAAATATATCAGTGCTGCATATGTAAATGTAAATGGTTAACTATCATTCCATCAATTCATTATAATTACTATCTTTCTTATCAATAAGTCTGCAGACTAACATTAAAGTGAAAATGATAAAAAAAATGTTATAATGTTTTAAGTTACAAAAAACATCTTGTCTCTTAAACTTGCTGGAACAAAACAAGATAATATGTGAAGTTTGATCAGGGTCTATATTGTTGCCTGAATAACTTTATAAAATATCATCCCAATACTTCAAAATTATGATAGACATTTCTAAAAATTGAAGCTGGGAAAGTCTGGAACACAAAATTACCAAAATAAAGGTTTAAGGTTAAATGGTTACCTTAACTTACAAGACAACAACATTTTTCTGGAATGTGTCAGTATGAAGAAGAACAAATTCCAGACCTTTTAAGTTATAATTCAGTAATAAATATTTTGAAAAAAAGAAAGAAAAAAGATAATTATATATTTTTCATAAATGTTATCAATTTTGATTCACAATCTGCATCATTGAATGACAACAAAAATAGATACAATACTTATGCTCACATATCTTGTAATTACATGCATAGTCAAAATGTTATATGTATGTGTAGCAAGGGTTTCAAGGTAAAAGGTTTAGCAGGAAAGGAACTATTACTAATTAAAGCCTGAACAACTTCAACAAGTGGATGTGATAATGTGTATGTTGGACATTATAGGAGCACATTGCAGCAAGCAACATTATGAGGAAACAGCATGTTAACAAGACACCCAAAAATATAATGCTTTTCCCTCTTTTCCTACATGTATGTAATGTGACTTAATGTGAAATTTTCACTCTCTGACTTCCAAATTTTAAAACCCTAGTGGAAGCCTGATAAACAGCAGTGACCCAAAATCTGTCCTGTGTTGAGAGGTGAATAGAATTAACTTTGACAAAAATATTGGTTAATTAATAAAACTTCATAGCATTTGAACTTTTGTCTATATGTAAATTTACTCTCTAGTATAATTATAGTAAGTTTAGCTTGAAAACAGTTGTGCAAAATTTCATTATGTCTCTAAAACTTTGATCTGTCTGATTCATACTTAAATAGATGTAAGCACAAAACCTTATAACTACAAAAATTATAACATTTATAAACTTGACTCCTAACTCTTGCTTCCACCTTCAACATAAAAATTATACTGTTACCCATTAATCTTCCACAAGTCTAGATAACTAACATACTTCGCATGCAGTTCTGTGACATTAAATTTGGTTTTACTTTAAAAAAAAAAAGGAGTGCACAATTTTTTTTTCACATAAAAAAATGGAAACATGCAATTACGGAAACAATGCAGAATAAAATCTCACCTTGACCCATGGAAATTTGAAAATCAATAACCATTCCTTTTCCAATTAAATGTGAGGCAAATTTATTTATTGGCTTTGAAATAAGTCAGTTTTAACTTTCTAGCACAGATAACGTTTTGTCACTAAATTGACAGAATGTATGAAAAGACTAGCAATTATTACTGAGAACTACATTTTGTACATAAAACTATGGGCAATCATAAAAGCCAATAAATAAAGTTGTTATCACCTTTACTTCATACAAGGCTTTCAACATCCTTACAATTTAAATGTGAATGTTTCAGGAATTTCTTTTTCAATTCAACCAACTTAACATTTTTCAAGACTTTTCAAAACTAGTGGTTATGTATAGTTGAAATAATAATAATAAAAAAAAAAAAGAGTATCATCATAATTAGAAATTTCATCAATAAACTACTTCTATGCTGAATAACTAGGAAAATGTTTCTACTAAATACATTTGGGAAATAAATGAGGTATGTTCTAACTAGCAAGCTTTAAAATTCTAAAAAGATGTCTACTAACTTATGTCCATACAGTTGAGTAAACAGATTAAAAGAACAGTTTCAAAAATTCATTTACCAAAATACAGAAATTCAAACAGACACAACTGTATATTAGCAGAATTATATGTGTACTTAATACTATAAGAGGGATATATGGTGGGATTCTTTTATCATACTTGAAAAGGATGAGTTGAAAGCCTGTATATTTTATAGGAAAGAATTCAAACCTGTTTCGTGTAGTCCCAAATTTGGACCTGGCCGCTAAAAATGCTAACAAGCATCCAGGGATATTCTGGATGCATGTCATTGCTTTTTACACGGTCAGACCGAGTAGTTAGCAGGCGGGTTGTGTTTAACTTAAGAGGCTGGAAAATAAACAAAGCTGAGATGTTAAGAGATAATCGGGTAAATTTATCTTTATATTATACGGTACATTTGTTTTATAGGTATGCCAGTGAGAAATTACAAACAAATTTGCTGATTTGCAATATAAACAAAACTGAATATATGAAAATAAAATTCCCTAAAAAATATTTAATCAAATGCCCTTGTGGATATTTCTAAGACAATCTAGTGACGTAACTATTTACAATCAAGAATGTGTAATACTTAAAGAATTTTAAAACTACAATTGCAAATCAACAGTGATGTTTGTAACATTCACAGATGACAACCACAGTGTCCCGCTGAATTGAGCCATGCTCAGTTCTATCATAGTGCAAGGAGTACCTGTGATTCAAAATTCCATATATGGACATTTCCGTTATATAAACTAGCCAGCATCCATGGCTCTGTTGGATGGAGATCGACTGTCTTCACACGATCAGATCGTGCAGACAACTTCCGTTTGATATCTAATCTCAAAGGCTGAAATTTAAGAATAAATATAAACTTATTTGAAACATTAAATAATAAAAGATGAATAGGTTTGTATGGTGTGATTATCTTATAAATAGCATACAGACACCATATATTATAATTTATAGTGATTTATATACACAATGCACTTTTCTGTAACAAGAAGTGTGTAAGGTATATCATTCACTTCAATGAACATACTGTGAACCATTGTTGAGCAAGAGGTTTGACGACAGACACTGTAAGAATTCAAAATGTAAGAGGCTTCAACTGGAAACATATTGTCAATCTTCAATGAGAAATAACGTGAATTCCAACTTTGACTATACAGGTTGGGATCCGCAAAAACCTAAAAAAGAACATCAAAAAGTGCATGAAGGTAATGTAAACACATATAACCTTATTTAACATTAAAAATTAAACCTGTTAACAAGACCAGTATTTACCCATCAATTGAAATAATGTTTTTCATTTTATTATCATGATCTAGACTAGATTCAAGTGACATCAAATCTGTCATTCACAACTTAGTGACTCCTTTGTTGTGTTCTGCCTAATACGGTTAGTAGGTTATACCTATAATGTATTAACATTGATACTATTGAGGGTACAAATTTCAACACATTGTGTACTTTTGTTAATAAGTGACATTCAACAGGTAGATCTTCCATCAAATTATGCCACATTAGACACAACTGCATCATTGAACAAAAAGAACAGACTGGGACGCTTTCATAATTATTAATTTCAACCCACATGACACAATATCAAACATAACTTTAGACAACAAAAATTTCACTATGACTATGATCTCGGATCTTCCTGGTCCTATACATACGACGTTTCTTAGAGATATTTTTACTACTTAGCTAACTGGAAGTTGTTGTTAATGATCATTATGCTTTATTTACCAAGACTCGTGGGCATTTCTAAAAATAGACCAGTGACGTATGATGACGTCACAGGAACAAGCATGGAAATTACCAGAAAATGTTGAACTATTTGTATTTTGCACTGTCATGATCTTTTATGCATCTCTTAAGACTTATTTCCGATTATCTAGCTCATTTTATATAGGTACCATTTTGCATTCACATGCATTTTGCTTTTCCTTGAGTCGTGGCTAACATGTATGTCAACAGTGGTGTAAGAAAACATTAGTCAAATCTCAGTGAACTATTTCAAGTAACCTAACCAATTTATTAAACATCATTATATGACTAGAAACTTCTATCTTTAGCGATTTAGAGTCAGATTTGATTAATTTATTCGGTACTTAACAGTCTTCAATAAGATCTCTTAGAGTTTGTAATGAATCTAAAATAAAACATCAGGGCAACTTTCATTCTGCCTTCAAAATCGTTTATACATTAACAAAATTGTAGCAACAATTGCAAATGATATTTTAATAAAGCAATGTGGTTTTCAAATGTATCCTATACCGTTCATTTTGCTTTATAAACAAACATAACTAGTTGCAAAAAGACGGAGATATGTAACAAATGATTTCAAATTTTTTATTCAAGATGGATAATGGATCGATAATAGGTATAATGATGCCGATGACCAAGTGTTAGTTTATATTTCAATTAATAGTTCAGTGAGACTTTCTGTGGGCCCAATTTTGGCGCGAAATTAAGTCGCACCTGTTCCAAACACCGGAAACCAGTAGGTTGTTGTTGTTGTTGTCAAAAAATGTAAACAAACCGTACAAATGGCCAAACTATTCGATTATTACAGTATTTACAACTATTTAACAACAAATTATAAGAAATATATATAATTAAAATACATTTTTAACCATACAAAAAGTCATCTACGATTTTAACCCACCCACGACTCAAGGAAAACCCACGACTTAAGGAAAAGCAGCCATAAGCATGAAATTGAAGGAAAATTTGATAAAACTTCTGTATAAAACCTGAAAGGCAAGACAATAGACATTGTTTGAATTTTTTATGATGCTATGCGTTTATCAGAAATAACTATTAGACATCGGGCCTAACTAACATTAACTATAACAAGGCCTTAATGTCTGATATATAATTTGGCCTTATTGGCCTAGGATCTTCCAAAATGTCATGATTTCGTTTGCAATGTGTAAATGGACAGTATCCGGCTGAATGAGACTTAAGGGGTATGTCATACACAAAGTTCGCTTCAAATTAAGCATATTAATAATAAAATTTTAGTGTTAAAAAGCTTAAATTTGAACTTACCATGATTTATACGATTTTTTGACAATATTTTTATCGTGCTGGACCAAAATACGTGGCCGCACCTTTGCGCATGAGCAACCGGAAGCCGGTTTGATTTCGGTACGTTAAGTTACCAAAATTGTCTCAACTACCGAAATTAACCTCGGAATTTACCCAAGACAAGTATCCTAATGCAAGATCTTATAAATAGTAAAAACAAATATATTTTAAAAAAAAACGTGCTTTGTTTTTGTAAAGAAATAATTACAACATGCAAATAATAAGTATAATATTGTACATATCATTAGTCTACTTCAAAATTTTGATAATGAAGCATAAATTTCGGTTATTATTAAGAATCTGTTCATATCTTTATTTCATTTTACGGGTACAATTTAATTGTCACTCATTCTCCTGTTTTTATGTACATTTTTTCTGTGTTCCAGTTGTGACATATTCACAATTTTGTATTTTATGTCTTCTAGCAAAGACAGTTATTTATGTTATTTAGTTATTTTTTTTGTTTAGTTATTTATTTATATGCTATTTTTAGGTGTAAAATTCTTGCAAAAATGTATCAGCTGGGATATCAGCATAATTATAACCATTCTTTTTTTAAACTAGCACATAAAAATTCTATCAAATTAAACTGACCATATACATTAAGCATTTTCTCTTCGATCTCTGTTTCAAAAATGTAAAGTAGTGAGAAAAGGTATTCTTAAAGAATATCTAAAATGGCAAAATTGAAAAGTGCAAACTACAATCTACAATTAATAGCAACGGCTTTAGAAGAATTCTACCATTAACTTGATATGCAGCATAATGCAGGCTTCATAACCTCTGATCCCCTTTAAAAAATTCATTTTGTTAGTTCCGCCCATTGTTTTCTTTTTTAGGGCACACGCTCTCTATTACTTGGGGAGCATACGCTGCTCTTCATGGAACGGCACGGATGTATATCATATTGAAGCGTTCCGTGATGACCGCAGTATGAACAAATCTGCGTTTCTAAATACAAATTTTTACTATTGAAATCACGTTTAAATTTTGAATTCTGCTTAAGCCATTGCTAGGGGCGTGGACGGTAGTTTGCACTGGACAGTACCGCCCATGAACAGGCTCAATCACACTGAGCCTGCAACATTTACAATTTTGCTGTTTTGGGATTTCTTTAGGTATTCTTATTTTCTCTATTTTATTGCCACATCAGCGTTGTTTGTGCCGTATGGAGGCTGAAAAAAGACGCCCCGTATGTTGTATTTCCGAGCTTTAAAGATCGTTCAGCATGACATTATTGTTGTGTTTGTGGTATTTTAAGTTTTGGGCTTTCTTTAGGGATTCTTATTTTCTCTACTTTATTGGAATGGTAAAACATAAAATTACCACTTTCAACTCACCAGAGCACAGTTTAGCCGCCGCATTGTTCCTGAATAGTAGCAGTTTACCAGATGTAGATGCCTTCACTTTCGCAAGGAAAATATTTGGTGGTTAATCACAACGAAAATGACACTGTCCGGGAATCGAAACCAGGTCGGCGATTCACAGTCCAATGCTCTATTAATCGAACTAAACGGACTTTAAATGTTTATGCTGATATATTATGATGAACTAACTGTTCATTTATGTAACGTTATCACAATATATAAACAAAATCACTATACCCTGTCCTGTGAGCCTATATAATTCAATGTGTACCCCGTCTTGCGAGTAAAAGCACATGCTACTTCAGATCATTGTACCTTACTTTGGAGCCTTTATTTTTAAAACTTGTACCTTACTTGCGATAACAGGAAGTAGACTTGTTTAGATACTATTGTAATGTCACAATGGTTCCAAAACTTTACAAGCCTCTATTTAACATTGTCGTTTTTCATCTGATGCGGCATTAAACGTCATGTCATAGTATATAAACTGGTACGCCGATGACCTTAAGCTACAATGGATTGTGCATTGGACCAGTAATCTAAAAAAACAAACAAGAATAAAGTTTCCTTTTAAAAGGAAAGGCTTGCACAGTTGTGCCTTCATCCCAACCCTTAAAAATTGTTTTGTTTTTTTTGGTTTCAATCTATTATCACATTTTTTTGAATTACGGTATTTGTATATCATAAAGGGTTTATTTAGTTGTTTTTTTTTTTTTGGAAAACCGAATATTTTTTGTCAAAACGATTTGAAATCTATTCTCTATTGTATAAAACTAATAAAGAAAATGATCAATCGTAAAAATACTAACGTGATACTGAAGGAAAACAAGTGTGCACATTTCATTTCCCCTTTTTCGCAGCGAAATCATTCCTCTGATTTATAGACAAGTAAATGCACTAAAAGACTTCGTTACGTGGTACCAATTAATAAGCATGTATCAACTATGTTACACGATCACAAATAGACGATGCGCTATCTGTAGATCAGCACGTGGCAAGGTTAATGATATGCATAGGCTATTTTTAGATTACCTCACTGCGTTCAGTAGATCTAAATATAACTCGATCATGCGTGATTTGGTAAGCAGGACCACCCTTTGAAGACGGAATACTACAACAGGCACCATTCTCTATTGTATAAAACTAATACAGACAAAAAACAATTAGAAAAGAAAATAACTTTTGCGTCTTGAAAAAGAATTGAAACGGAACAATTTCGATAAATCAAGTAAAAATAGAAATCCTATTTATATAAACTGGGATTACCGAAGTAACTAAAATAGCTTAGATTTCCGTAATATTACTTCGTCTGATTCCGCAGTATGACGGAATCGCCCGAATTGTCACGATTGCAATCGGAACTACATCGGCTATTATCATTAATCCGAAGAGTGACGGAAAAGGCCGAAAAGTTGCGATTGGCACGATTGCAGCTGGTTTCCCGTTCAATCATGCACCAACAGATGTAAGCAGGAAACCACCTAACCGGAACAAGTTTTCCAAATGAAATGGCTTGCAGCCGTGGCTGCAAGCCAATAAAGACCAACAAGGCAAAGGCAACGTTCACAGGACGCAGCCCCCGACACACCCAAGTAGGGCACCTAGAAGGCACCAAACCGAAACCGGAAGTGGACACAAGGGCGCAAAAGGAGAGTGACACGTGCTGTGTGAAATTACAAAATTCAAAACGGGCCTATATGAGAATTAAAGGGATAAAGGCTATAAAGGTGAAATGGTGTCGTTCGGCTAGCTTCTACAGTAACTCATGTAAGGCTAGAATAATTGGTTAGCAATGTACCCATACGGCTGGCAACTGAAGCTTGGACATTGCATGAACGGTACGGACAACTTCCACGTTTTCATCAGTCATAATGATATTATGGCTAAATGCAGTGCGATGTCATAGAGGCATAATAAGTGTACAATACAATTTTGTCTCATATTTTGTGTTAAACAGATGATATGTACGCAACATATTTCCATCAGGACCAGAAAACTTATGACACTATTTAAAGATTCGAGCCAGTTAAAAACTATTTTTTCTTGTAATGTAATTTAGATGTAACAATATTCACAAATGGAAATACTCACTATATTGGTTGGAATTAAAATTCTTTAACATACTATTAACATAGAAAAACCAGTTCTTACAGGACCTATTTGCTACAGATGCAGTATAAAGTGTAACTCGATTCTTTACTGTAGCATCAAACATATTAGACATTCTAGCTAAATGAATAGATATGTGTAAACGCATGTCAGGATGGGGAAAATAAATACAATTCTTTTACAGTTTTCTAAGTTTATAACAAGTATTTCGGCAACAACAGTGTCTAGTGAGTTAATAATACTGGATATAAATACATACCAACTTACAAGTTTGGATAACAATGTCGTTTGTAAGAAGTTTACTGTATTTGAACTTTGGCGGTTTTAAAACTTTATTTGCATTACTTGGAGGTCAAGACCGAAGTGACAACATTGGTTGGATTCCGACTTTTATAAGGTTCGATGTTTGAAATCCACCAATGAAACAACAGAAATCCGGAAATCCTCCAATGGACAGACGGCCGGATTTCTGAATCTGAAATCTTGGATTTCAATGGCGGCCATATTGAAATCTCATATAAAATCTACATACGAAAATCATTAATATACAAAAACATGTAGTGAATACTTATGGATTTCTGACCTTAATCAATTATAAACTTTACATAAATTATGTTCTTGAATTGAATTTGACTGAAATTGACATTAACAATAAGAAATCTTCAATATAAAATATGAAGTGACAGATTTCAAAGATGTCTGTCATTGGACGTCTGCTACACAGAAAATGTAAAGAGAAAATCAGTTTTCTGCTATACAATAAGGTAAGTTTAACATTTCTATCAGCTTAAATTGCAAAGTCAATAAGTGTTAATACAGGGTTCCTTCAGATCAATCAGGTAAGTGAATCTTTATCTTGTAGAAGTCAACAATATATGACTAAGCTATAGGATTTCACTATGTCACTTGGATTTCATTATAAGTTCTGTTGTAAGTACATTTCAGAATTATGCTAGAATGTCAGATCCTTACATATGGATTTCCATTGCCAGATTTCTGGAGGGGGGGGGGGGGGTATCCATCCCATTTCACCCGAAACGGCGACATTTGGCGTTTATCTACTGACACCTATAAATGAACGCATAGCGCGATACTGCACTGCGTTAATACACGAGTATGAACGGTAACCCCAGATAGCAGAACCATAACTGATTATTGACAAAACCGTAGAATCATATACGTATAGGTGGGTAAATACATTGTACGGAAAACCACCAGCCGATTTACATTTAGCAATAAGAAGGCCAAGAACCCAACTTGCATTTTGGGCTACAGCCTTTGCAGTGACATTGAAATCTAAGTGACCTTGCAACAATAATACCAAAAACATAGTTATATCTATCGATATTAAGACTTTAGTGTGTGAACATCACATATAAAATTGAACGATGTTCCACATATTGTTAAAGGTCTATAATGGAAAATTTGACTTTTACTGCTATTTATAAGTATGTAAATGCTACGTTAATTTTTTTCAAATATTTCAATCCCCGGCCCTCTCCCCCAACCCAAAAGTCCTCGGCTATTATCTATAATAACCTTGAAGTTAATACGGAATGAAAAGTAGTTCCAGATGTAAACAGAAACAGAGAGTGTTGTGTAAAACGAATGTAGATATTTGACAATTAAGTTTGAATTGGTACAATTATGATTGAAAATATGTCTGACAACAATTTTTAATTTAAATATGCCCACTGATGTACAATTTCAAACAAATCCGACTCATTGTCAACATGTTGGTAATCTGTATTTTCGGTTTCTACAACCATAATAATAAATATATAAATAATGTATTGTTTGCTTTTGTATCTACGAATTCATTTATTTTAGGATGACCTTTACTTGGTATATTGGAGATAAATTTGTCAACAACTGCCATGATTGAATTACTATTTGTTTACATGCTTAGTTTCCTATCGTAGGTTAGACCGAAATACCGTATCCGGTCTATGTATTCATACTATTGTATTCGATGTCCTTATCCGAAGACTGACGGAAAGGGCCGAAAAGTTGCGATTGATTATACTGCATTATAAGTATTTAAATCTATACAAGGTCAACTCCTTCTTACATTTCAGATATCCTTGTGTTCTCGAAAAATGAAACATATATACACTTAGATCAACTGCAAATAGATAACATAATACTTTGTTTGTTTGTTTCATTCTACGCCCTTTTCCAACAGTATTTCAGTCATATAGGCGGGTAGTTTCCTAACCATCGTTCCTGGAGAGTTACACCAGTACTAGACTACCTTCCTCCGCGCTAAACTACCAAAGCATCTCCCGGGGATCGAACCAACGCAAGAGAGACAAGCAATTATATTAGTATTGCAAGCAATCCATAAGTCCCCTACCGGTTAGAACCCCATCAACATTCTGAAGGGCCAATGGCCATTCACTAATGTTTCAATTTTTCTATATTTTAAGTAAATTTGTTGGAAAAGTTCTTTAAAAGTGATCACAGGAAACAGTTTTTATGAACAGACAGACAGACGGACTGAAGGACACTCTAAAGTTAATATTTGAAACATCCCTGTTACCAAAATATAACATTTTAAAAGCAAAATGCTTAAAGAGGAGATAACTCTTGAATTAAAGATGCAATTTCATAAAAAAAAATTCAGCTCTTTTTGACTTATCACAAACAATGTTATATTTGCCATGTTTTAAGCCTATTTGTTGCCAAGGCAACCAATATTTTTTCAAAATAGGGAGAACAGATAAGACATGCATAATCTCAAGACTGCCATCTACCCATATATCAAGTTTCATAAAAATATTTCCAGTACTTTTTGAGTTATCACTGGATTCAGTGTAAGTGTAAAATTTGCCATATTTTCAGTCTATGTGTTGCCATAGCAACCAGAATTTTCAGCATAGGAAGAAAAGAAAAAAACGTGCATAATCTCCAGACTGCCATCTACCCATATTACAAGTTTCATAAAAATATTTCTATTACTTTTTGCGAACACAGGATCCAGTTTACGTGTAAAATTTGGCATATTTTCAGTCTATTTGTTGCCATAGCAACCAGAATTTTCAACAAAGGAAGAAAAGAAAAAGACGTGCATAATCTCCAGACTGCCATCTACCCATATTTCAAGTTTCATAAAAATATTTCCAGTACTTTTTGTGTTATCACTGGATCCAGTTTATGTGTAAAATTTGCCATATTTTAAGCCTATGTGTTGCCATAGCAACCTGAATTTTCAACATAGGAAGAAAAGAAAAAGACGTGCATAATCTACATACTGCCATCTATCCATATATCAAGTTTCATAAAAATATTTTCAGTACTTTTCAAGTTATCGCGGGATCCAGTTTTGTGGACGGACGGACTGACGGACTGACGGACTGACAGACAGACAGACTGACAGACGGACAGACAGACAGACAGACAGACAGACAGACAGACAGACAGACAGACAGACAGACAGACAGACGGACGGACGGACGGACGGACGGACGGACGGACGGACGGACGGACGGACGGACGGACAGACAGACAGACGGACGAAGGGTAAACCTAAAGTCCCCTCCGGTAAACCGGTAGGGGACTAATAACTGGATTAGAAGTCATCGACTCTAACCCCTCGACCACGGAGGCGGTTATAACATAATACAGGTAAGATCTAATACCAAATATGTTAAAAGAACTTTTAGAAATAATGCTGTGATAGTATGGAATAATTTATATATTAAAGAGTCTTCGTCTCTATATGCTTTTAAAAGAAATATGAAAAAATATTTACTTGATATACAATTTAAATGAATCTGAAATATACATGTGTCTGTCGCTTTGAATAGTTGTTGTCTACATTTATGATATGCGTGTATATATTTGTGATTTTCTTTATCTTGTTTAATTGAAGGCCATATTGTAAATAAGATATGTTTTTTTTAATATGTTTTATCACATACCCGTGCCGATTTTGCGACTCCGTATTGCACGACCGTGCATACATTTTAATGTGACGTCATTTGCGTTATACAAACATATTATAAAGACGCGCTAAATGTAAACGTTATTCTATAGGGGCGTCAAAAGAAAAATTGTTTCTTTGTCAATTTAAACCATCTTTATTCTGGTATGTCATAAATACAATGCAGAATATTAAAATCGTGTAAGTTAATTACTGAATTTATTGAACTCGTTGAAAAAAATAATATTATGCTCGCCAGAGGCTCGCATACATGTAAAATAATTTATTCAACTCGTTCAATAAATTCAGTATTGAACTTACACGAGTACTCATCCAATATCCTCTATATATACCTTCATGAATAATTAAAGTGTTTGTTATTATTATAGTCTCATTATATATAGCGTAAATTGAAAGATGAAAATAAAATCTGGAGTCCCACAGGGTACAGTGCTGGGACCATTGCTCTTCTTATTATATATTAACGATCTTTCGGACCATGTAAAATCACAAGTGAGGTTGTTTGCTGATGATTGTTTACTATATCGCCAGATCAAGTCCCAAAAAGACCATCTTCAACTTCAAAAAGACCTAGACAATCTCCAAATCTGGGCATCAACATGGGGGATGAAATTTAACTCAAAAAAATGTTACCTGCTGAGTTCGAAGTCAAAATCCATGTATTTCTACAACATTGATAACAACATACTTCAACAAGTTCAAGTCAATCCTTACCTTGGTATCACTTTCTCGGAGGATATGAAATGGTCAACACATATAAGTAACATCTGTAAAAGAGCTAACTCATCTATTGGATTCTTAAGAAGGAACTTACGCCATTGTCCTAAACCATGCCGCAAAAATGCCTATCTAGCTCTAGTCCGCTCCAAATTAGAATACGGATGCACTATCTGGGACCCTTATACCTAAAACGAAATTGATATACTTGAACGTATACAAAGACAAGCCGCTCAGTTTATTACTAATAACTATACTTCTAGGGATTCAGGCTGCGTAACATCAATGCTGGAACAATTGGAATTAACAAGCCTCCAAGAGCGCAGAAGATTACACCGGCTTACTTTCATGTATAAGGTAGTGGAAGGGCAAGTACCGGCAATTAACATACGGGAATACCTAACTCCTCAGGGCATTAGACGATCTGTAAGAGCTAAATCATATATAAAGACCATATAAGTCATAACATTGTGAAAAAATCTGTGTGTAATAATCAAAAGTGCTACAAACCAGTATATGTAAAAACAGAAAACTACAAAAATTCTTTTTTCATCAGAACAGTGTTAGACTGGAATAAATTAAGTGACTCTCAAGTATGTTCATCAACAGTTCAACAATTCAAAAATTCTATAAAACTTTGCGACTAAGGCGCACTCACGTCACCGTCGTGTTAAAGCCAGATTTTGGTCTCTACGACGTACCCTCACAGATACAGATACAGAATTTAAAGTTTAAAACTCTTCTAACAACTGTAAATGGTATATATACACCTTATCAAAACTGATAAAGTTCATCCCATGCATACAGTAGGATTAATTATTTCCTTTTGTGTTTAAGGTATTAGGACCCTAATGGGCACTATCAGGAACTAAAGAATTGACATCATAGGTCAGATGTATACCTTAAAGTACACCTGTATGCAAAATTTAAACAAAGTTTACCGTACGGAAATCAAGTTATGGCCACTTTTCTGAACTCAAGCTAGGATGTTATGAGGGCCCTTTTTTTAAAATGAGGAACTTTTAAATAATCTGCAATAACATTCCAATGAAAAATGTTTTCCCATGAATTTTTGGTAAGAAACAAATAGTACCATTCAGCTAACATTCCACATAAGCAAATTTGTGGTTTCTTCTTAAAATATATGAAATCTGTATAAAAATGTTACCCTACCCCACCCATTTTTACATCATGTCTGACCATTTTTCTACTTAGGGAGCCTAATTAAAAAAATTCTTAAAATTTACCCAAATGAGTGCCTGTTTTCAAAGTTTCCCTAAATTTTTAAAAAAGTATATTGGTTGATCTTGTAAAATATGAAATACTTTTACCGTCCAATTTTGATTATATTACACTTTGAAAATATCAGGTACCATATTTATTACTAGATTTAGCATAATTTAGCCAATAAATACCTATATAAATTAAAAATTCAAAATTAAACACTTTTTTTCCTTCCATAAAAAAAGAGAAAAAAAGTTGACCCTTCTGGGGATTGAACCCATGGCCCTCATTTTCAATGTAGTTAACAGTAATTCTAGCCTATTTGAATACTCTTCAAAGCGGAGGTAATGCATTAGGGTGCTAATACCTTAAGTGTAATTTAAGGATTTTGGTAAATTGACCATTTTCACCGGAAATCTCGTTTGACACGAGAATTGAAACTGCAATGGCCGCCAAACAAGATTGGGCATAACTTGTTGTCGAATTTTTCCTTATAGTTTCTAATATCTTTAATAATTGAAAGCAAAGTTAATGCAGCATCTGAAATTCAGATATTATCTATCTAATTAATTGAATGACACATCGATTTGCGAATTAGATTTTCAGAAATATTAAGACAAGTTGTCGTAGGCAAGGAAGCTTTGCATTTTCTTGTTCCATAATGAAGGTGACAGGGATCGTACCTGCTAGGTTTCTGACAATTATCTCGCATCTAGTGCTTGTTATTGTAATATTTTGGTCTCGGGTAAGTTGAACTTGCAGAATTTTAAGGTTTGATTACATTCGTTCATTAATATTTTCAAAATTATTTAAACTCGTAAGTAGATTTTCATGTTTTCACCCACCTCACGATACAATATGTACAGGGTCCAAAAATGTTTCCAGAAAGGCATTTCTGTCAAAATTGTCAGTTATTTCTAAACCTCTACAGCAAATAAAACATTGACCTTTTCGAAAACCTAGCTAAACACCATTTTCTGGTATGTTACATAGGGATCTATTTAGCTCTTGGGAATTACAGCAAATAAAATACATAGCACAATTACATGAAATTTCTATTTTTCTATCATAATTTTACCGTTTAAGGTGAAAAAAAATTGATGTGTTTGAAAATTATCAATAAATCTTTAATATTTATTGCAATTTTTTCAAAAAATAAATTGTTTATATTGAAATTCAATAAACAGTCGTAGTGGCATCTTCCATTATAAATAGAGATATTTTTTGTGTAAACTTGTGTATTTACTTTATTTTTTGGTATGGAGTTATTCATGCAATGATATTCAATTATTTTCTTATAGAGAAATGACTGTTTTATTTCACTTTAATGAAAAAAAAGCCATAAACATAGAGTTCATTATTTCGCTCTATTATGTGAATTCCCCAGAGCTATGTACAGAAAGTACCAGAAAACAGCATTTAGCTAGGTTTTCGAATTTGTGAATCAGAAAATTAAAATCGGGTCATTGTAGAGCTCCAGATAATTTTTTTGGCGAAGGGGTTTTTACACCTCAAAATTTAGAGTGAGGGATAAAATGCAAATTCTGAAAAACTTAAGGGGTAAAATTTGTCAAAAAAAGCATTTTTTGTAAACAAGTTAAACTTTTTGTTTCTGTTTGTTTGTTTATTTCTTTTTTTAGAAAAACCTTTACAAATAAAATACTGATTCAATGTGAAACAATACAAAACATGTCCTGTAAAGTCAGACTTCCAGAGTATACTGGAACACAAGTTTAGGATACACAGCAAAATTATCACGGCTTCCATTTTCAAAATTTGGAAGTCAAATACTTCAAAATCTCTGATATTGGAAGTCATATTATATAGGTAAAGAAGGAAAAGTATTAGATTTTCGGAAGTCACAGGTGAAAATGAAGGAGTAAATGACTCCCAAACTAGTGGAAGCCCTGAAATTATTTTGTTTTCTATGAGTCAATATTTTTCTTTCTTTATTTCTGTTGGCATGTAACTTATCATGAACTCAGGTTTGAACAATTATAGTTGAAATTAGAATTAAAGAAAAATAAGCTAGATTTTTTTTACCTTTCCTTAAAAAAATGTATTGGTCTGTCAGAGTAAATTGTCAGTAATTGTAGACTTCCTGCTACTTTCGTTTTTAGCTCGACTATTCGAAGAATATGAGAGCTATTGTCGTGTCGGCGTAAGCGTCCGCGTCGGCGTCTGCGTTGGTTAAAGTTTTTGTAAAGTCAAATATCTCAATTATTACTTGAGATATTCAATTGAAACTTACAATACTTATTTATAGTAACAAGGTACATCAGATTGACAAGTTGGATAACTCTGCCTACAATATTGACAGAATTATGCCCCTTTTTACTTAGAAATTTTGGTTAAAGGTTTTTTGTAAAGTCAAATATCTCAATTATTGCTTGAGATATTCAATTGAAACTTACAATACTTATTTATAGTAACAAGGTACATCAGATTGACAAGTTGGATAACTCTGCCTACAATATTGACAGAATTATGCCCCTTTTTAACTTAGAAATTTTGGTAAAGTTTTTTGTAAAGTCAAATATCTCAATTATTGCTTGAGATATTCAATTTAAACTTACAATACTTATTTATAGTAACAAGGTACATCAGTTTGCAAGGTTGCATAACTCTGCCTGCAATATGTGCAGAATTTATTATTTGCCCCTTTGAAACTTAGAAATTTTGGTTAAAGATTAAAGGTCTTCAAAGATATTTACTTGAAACTTTACACATGCACTTTGGGTCATAATTGGAAGGTCATAATTGTTTGTCATTGACCAAGTTCCATAACTCTATCTTGCATTAAGGCTGATTCATATCCCCTTTTCTACTTAGTCTCTTGGTTAATGTTTACATGCACATTTTACATATCTCAATAACTATTAAAGATATTTATTTAAAACTTCACATATGCATTTAGGGTCATAATTGTAGGTCACTGACAAAGATCCATAATTCTATCTTGCATTTTGGCTGATTTTTCTCCCCTTTTTTCAACTTAAAAATTCATAGTAAAGTTTTGCTTGTAAGCTGTTATCTCAATAACTACTGAAGGGTTTGTGCCTTTTTTGGGACAATTTTATGCATTCATAATAATAAAGCAGTGATTTATTTGATAAAACATCTTAATAACAAGCCTTTGTACCTTTTCTGTCAAATTTATGTATTCATAGGTATTTAGTATTATTATTATATACTCAATAAAACACCCTTGTGACATTACCTTCCAAATAGTCAAGCCAATACTGTATAATTAGACTCTCTGTAATGCCTATAACATGAATTTATAAAAAAAAATTAGGCTTTTTGTGAACTTAAAAAATTTAACATTATCAAGGCTCTTTTACTATCAAGCACTTAGAATAGTCAAGCGTGCTGTCCTACCGACAGCTCTTGTTAACATGCGTTGTTGACAACAGAATTTTTATTTTTCAATGCAATAAAATGGAAATATATAGTATTTCTATGCTCAAAACATCCTCTTTCTAAATATCAAATGTTTACACTTAGAAAGAAAGTTTATTCTTTCACGCTTTAATTTTGACGTACAAGCGTATTTTCATTTTGTTGTGCGTAACTTTGAAGCACGAATTTTGAAAGTGATGCATATTTTAGATTTTCTATGCGTTTTTTACGCTTATATGCATGCTATCTGGAGCTCTGTCATTGTAGTAACAGTCACTCAGAGAACTTTTTTTTACCTGAATTCTATATTTTGGACTTAAAACAAACTGAAGCAGATTTATATTCATCTTCTGCAGTTTTTACTGAAATAAGTACTCCCCTTGAAAATAATTTAAAACACTGTACTGTGCCGTACCATATTGGTGTTTTGTTTTACGATGAACAGTGGAAATTGTTACAATATACCGTCCTACAGGATACTATTACACTCTTATCTGTACCTAAGAAAAAACCTTGACACATGGCCAAATGGGTTGTATTCATTGACGCATCTGTTGCCTTAGATAAGATGTAAGAATTGTGATCTTTATTTAATATTTGAAGCTTAAGTACCAACATCCTTTTTTGTAATTAACATTCTCTATTTCAGAGACCAAATATTGAATCCTGTTTACCCAGGACATATACACAGGCAGAATATGACAAAAAAGATTTAGAGTGAGTACATGACAAAATATTCTGAGTCATGTTTTTCTTGTTTCTTTTTAACCTTGTATGTAAACTGTGCACATAGGTATACTATTAGTTATTAAATTACTATTAACAGAGAAGAAATGAAAGGCTTGATATATATAATATTTCATAATGTTACTTGATTGTTGACAGAATTCAACATGATCATATAGTTTTTGGAATTTTTATATTGAACAAAAATAAATTCACTGTTCAAACTAAGAACTATTAATACTTGTACTTGGTACATTTTTATCATCCATTAATGAAGTTTTACAAATCCTAAACAATTACAAGTAGTAAATAGTTTAAATTTACAATGATAGATTTTAGTTTGTTTGTACCCTAATACCCAGATTTTTTTCTAGTAACTCTGTTGCATTAACCAGGTCTATGTAATAAAATTGAAAATATGTTAATTTTTTTTTTGTTCTTATTACAGGATGATTATAGGGCTATCAGTAGCCCTTGGATTATTTGCCATAGAATTGGTAGGCTTTTTTGGAGGTCTAACCATGTTTACATCACTACAGTGCCTTCTATGTATCCTTTTATTTTACTGATCACAGATTGCATTTTTAAGTATTAAAGTAATGTAATATTGACTATTTTTTGTTGTCAGTGCCAAAACTAATTTTGAATTACATAGGAATTATACAGGACTATTTTAGCATAGTAATCAGGATCCAAGGTTATAAAGAAATTTTCTTTGGACAAACTCAGTTCTCTGGTACTTTATTGTTTTTAAAAAAAAACCCAAAGAAACAACCCTACACAGAATGTACACTGACTAATACAAATCTTGAGACATTTGAGACAGAGCCTAGAAAAAAAGTTTTATACCTTGAGGCCAGGGCTCAGAGTTTGAAACAAAATGTCTTCCACTAATCTTCTAAATGTTAAAACATATGTCTATTTGTTTCATTTGATCAAACTTTAAATGTACACCATTGATATTAAGCATTCCTTAAATATGTGTATTGAGGTTATATTATATATACTAAGTTATATCTTAATGAAAGGTTATCTATAGATGCTGAGATACCTGTGGTTTAAAGCACTTATTTTAAATGTATTATTCTATGCCTGAAAAATTTACTTTAAATACCAGAATATTCTTCAAAAGATGCACTTTTGTTGAAAAAGATTTAAAAAAAAAATGACAATGTGAAAGGTTTGGTAAAAGTTTGGCATTAATAATTTTACTTGTTTTGAGATCTAGAAAATATAGTTTTAAGTATTAATGATCCTTGACAATTACTTTAGCTATATCTGCCCATTCTGGAGCATCCGTGGCATTGTCTTACTATATCTGGAGGGAATGGCCTTGTGAACGGTTCTGGTATATTTTTGCCTTCTGTAATGCCACACCTGCTTTTACTGAGTTATTAACAATGGGGATAATTCTTTGTTGTGGGCATACTTCATTGTAGCATAGATACAACTAAGATATAGGGTTAAAGAACAATGGATAGGTATTGTGCATTTTGACAGAATATTTATAGGAGTCAGTCAAAAGTAAAAGTTTATGTTACATGTATTTAACTTTAGTGGTAAACATGTACATTTGTATTAGTGCTAGACTGACTTGTTTTAACTGTTAGGTAAAGCTTAACAAAGTTAAGAGTAAAATTTCTTGGATAATGGATGCAAGCAATTTTCTTAGTTTATGAATTTCATTTTTTGGGATGTGGAGTATGTTACAGAAGGCACAAAAATATACTTACTGTTTAATTATGGCATCTTCACAATAAAAGCAAAAAGATTCCTTGACATAAGACTTAGCTACAGCAGTTCATGGTGGGGCATTTGTTGCCTTGACATTCTTCTTGTTTGAGATTTGGCCATGTGACTGGTACTGGTACATATTTGGTGTGTGCAGCGCTTTACCCGGAGTGACTGAAGTGTTTTCCATCATATCTACATTGAGACAACCTTAGTGATATATAATTGTATGTACCAAGAGAAAAATGTGACAAATCTTAAATAACTGACAAATAAAATGAAATGTGTTACATGAAGGTGGTAATATATATATAAAAAATCTTTGGTGACTCTTCTCAAAAGATACAGTTGACACTATTGGAAGTTTCATGCTGTTTTTTTGCCCCCTGTATTTTCAACACAACAGTACCTACAGTAATTTCATGAATTAAGAAGTGGACAGTTAATTTACTGTATAATTTGTACTAAGTTTGCATGAGAATAAAGACTGAAGTTATGAATTTGTAACACTTGCGAGACAGTTTGATGATAAACAGCTGTATTTGAGTAGATTAAGTATACATGTATTTGAATTATTCGTATTACATATTTGATAACAGTCTTGGAATGAGGCTATATCTTCAATACATTCGAAACAAAAGCAAGCATAAAAGTTACTATCTTTCGCTGTAAATTTCGAGCCACATTTTTGTTTGTATTTTTATAAATGTTGGTTATCTGATCATAGAATCTCATATTTTATTTTTTGGTAAATCTACAGGTTGAGTGTGATAAAGATTTTTAGGAATATTTCATATCAGATATTTAAAATGGTTTCTCATTAATTATTAATATTAACTTTCCGTCCATCTTTTATGTCAGAAAAGAAAACATATCATTGTTGTGTTATTATGATACATTATTGTGTTAGAGTATGTATTTTAACTTATTATCAGATATAATTATAAGATATACATGTTCTATGCTCATCTTTGAGTACAATAATTTTTACTTCAGAAAAAAATTATTGATATCTATAGAATTCTTACTGAATAATGTCTTATTCAAATAAAAGAACATAGTACAAACTGTGTCTCTATTCCTAATAGCAGATCCTACCTGTTTTTGAATGACACTATAATTATATTCATAATGTGTCCACTTATAGTGTGTAGGATTTAAAGCATAACATATCTACCTTGTGTGAGGTGAAAACATGTTTATTTTATATTTACATAAATTAGAGACTAGAAATTATCACTATTTTCTACATTTATACTATAAAATTTGAGCATAGTATATCTTTTATATATTTAAGTGTAATTTTGTGTGTATATAGATGAGCCTATTAGAGCTAAGATAGGTTTAGTAACTAGTGTGAATAAGGGCAGCAAACCTGTTTGCTCATTTTGAATTGACAGAAAGTGAATAAAACAGTGGTTTATGTTAGTTATTTAGAGTTGTTGATGAGAAGACTTATTACTGTTTATAATGTTTCCTTTGAAGTCAAAGCTTGTTCTTGTTTTTTTAATGTCTAATTCAAAAACGTTCTGTTGTTGGTCCACCATACAAGTTTTTCCTGGATATCTGAATTGTAATTACATTGTATCAGTTTCTCTGCAAGCGACTGACTAACCCCTTTAACCCCAAATGATTTATGATTTAGACAAATTGTTAGTAATAATTTTGATTATAATAATTTATTTTTTGAAATTTGGAATGCATGTTAATTATTTTATAATATGCATGTAAAGCAAATTGTTAAAGTAAAGATGAAATCATAATTTTTGTGAGATCAATATTTCTTTTTCAGGTTTTCATTTTTAAATAACAAAATAATATGGGATGTGTCTAATTATGTAACAATCATTATTTAAGATATGAAATTAAGCATTATTTATATCCAGGTCTGGTAAGCATTGAACTTGCTGGAACAGAAAGTGATTAAATTGGTCATCAGTACAGAGCCATGTCAGCAAGCACATCTGTGCAATCTGGCCACACATTACACTCTTAGTAAAAATTTTGTATTTTGATACTGACATCCCTTTAACTTCCAAAATAGAAGCTTGACAAGTCCATTACACAAATACATGTACATCAGGTTAAGAGAATATTTTAATAAAATGCTTGATACTGTGTAATGATGATTCTTTAACAACTTCTTTAAAGTTACATATGACCTTAACATAATGTATAAATGTGATTATATTATATTGATAGAAAGGCTGTCTAGTGTTAGAATTGATTTTACTATGCAATTGTAAATAAATATATTTATAACAAGTAACTGTATGTATATTTTGCCCTTGATCTTATTTATAAAATTAATGAAGGGAGGGAAAAATAATTCTGTCTGTCTGTCTATTTGTCTCTGAAAAAAATCAAACCTAAAGATGCCAAAACTACAACTGTACATCCTTTTAACTAAGTACATGTATATTAAAGTGTTAAAAAATTTAAACGATTTCTTAGGTTGAACATTTTCAAAATTTCTGTCTTTTTTTTGCCTTGACAAAATTTACCAAACCCCCAGGGATTCTATGGAGATTATATAGACTTATAATTATAGACAAATAATATTTATCATTTTAGAACCACAAAGGACTGTGGAAGTTTTAAGTCCTTCCTAAGATTTTGTGTGGAGATTGGCCATAGCTTGTAAGGGCTGTTATTGATTTTGAGGTTAATTTGTCAAGGTCACTGTTGCACTGTCACCTTAGAGAAAGCTTTGGCCTACAGTCCTAAGACATGGTATGGCAGTTGGTCACATGATATGACAGTTGGTCACATGATATGACAGTTGGTCACATGATATGACAGTTGGTCTTGGCTTGAGGATGACCCCTATTGATTTTGAGGTCAATAGTTTTGTGGTAATTAGGTTAAGGTTATAATGACAAACTGGCTTTTCCAAGCAGGACAATAGTTTCATCAAATGTTTATAAGAATGTATTTGTTTTAATATTACCAGGTATATTATCATATATGTTTTAATATAACACTTGACTTTTAAAATTATGTCTAAGTATGTACATACTTCACTGTGTGACTGTCAAAATGAAGTGGGACCATGAGTGTCCTCTAGACACATTTCTTGTTGGTTCGTTTTTTGATCTCGCATTCATATTGTGCAGGAAACTTGAATGATTTTAGAAACTATGTTATAGATAACCTTATGATCATTCCAGTAAAGTTACACGGCAATATAGTAAGAGGTATAGCAGGAGATGTAGATTTAAGGGGAACATTTGTATCTAGTTTTATCTCTAGAAGCCATCTTGTTTAACAGACTGGGTGATTGTGGCAATTTTTATTTAAGACCACAAAAGAATGAACATCAACATCTATTGAGTTGTTGGGGAGGAAATGTCTATATCTTTTTTTTTATAGCTCAGGTGGCTCTTTTGTTGATCAGACTTGGATCACTTTACCACATTTTATTAATGTCTGCCAAAATCATTATTTCTGTAGATTTTCGTCAAGTTTTACCCGGTAGTTTAAGAGGAGATGTTGTTTAATGGTTTTCTATTTTAAGCTCTGGCTGCACTGACTAACCATTTGATCATGTTTATAGAGAACATTCTAAGGAGTATTGCTGTGTGGTATCTACCTTTTCAGGACTAGATTTTGTTGAACTACAATGGGACTACAACCGAACACAGGATGATCCTCATCCTCACCAGATGTGTTAAAAAGATTTTTGCGAAATGGCACTTTATGCCTTTTGGTTAAACTCCCATATAGAGAGTACATGTATAGAAAATGTACCCTTTGTGACCTTGACGAGTAAACCTTAAATATGTGAAATGGCTCTTAATGCCTTTTGGTTAAAATCCTGTATAGAGAGTACATGTATAGAAAATGTTCCCTTTTAGACCTTGACCTGATGACCTCAAAATCAATAAGTGTCCTCTATCATGTCTATTGTTCATTGGCAATGACCCTACAAAGATTTACAAGTGCTTATTCCTTTCTAAGTTACTGAGCGGACAAAGATTTTACACCGAGTAGCACCGTGACCTTGGCCTTATGACCATAAATCAATAGGGGCCATCTACTGACCACTTGAAATGTACATACCAAGTTTCATAAACCTAAAATTATTTCTTTTCAAGTTTTTGAGCAGGCAATGCTATTTCACTACGTGTCACTGTGACCTTGGCCTTAAACCAAATGTAAGTTGTTCACAGTGAACTGTGCAGTGATATCTGTGCGGTCAAAGGCGGTGGTGCTTTGTAGTTTACCCTCCACAACTTGTTCAACTTGTTCATGCATAGCTCAAAAAGTGTTTGACCTGTAGCCGTGAAAGTTTAACAAGAATGTTGGTCAGCATGTGTACGTACTTATGTCCATTGAGGTTTGCTTGTTGATTTATTCAGTATTTGTACAGTTCTTGCACATTACTAAGTAAAAGACTTCTGACACATTTAGCCCAAAAAATATTTGACCAAGAGTCATAAGATTGACAAAACAGTCGAGTGTGTCCTTTGGACACATTTCTAGTTTGTTTAACATTTTAAAAACTATTTTAAACACACTACGATTACGATATATAAATAATTTGAATATATGAATCAATTTTTACCAAAATCTTTCTTATATTTTTACATTTCTAACAATGTCGTCAGTTTCGCATCGCTTTCCCCTGATGTTTGACTTTACACAAGTGCATATCAATCCGTGTACAAAAAATGTATCTTATGCGTGTGTAACTACTTAAAACAAAACCGGTCAAATTAGAAAAAAGGAAACCTTAAACACACAAGGGTATTAGTACCTAAACATGATTCGAACAACACTGACACGGGAGCTTTGCCAACTGTGCTATCAAGGCACATAGAAATAAAACGTTTTACGTTGTTTGTTTTTATTTATTTATTTATCTATTTATTTATATATTTATTTATTTATTTATTTATTTATTAGGCTCCAGTCTGTCTGCTCTATTTTTCGCATTGAGATTAAGCTTTGTTATGTAAACAAAGGCTCGAGTTATACAAAGGCTCGAGTTATCCGGGGACAGAATATCTTAAAAATAAATAGGCCTTTATACATAGTCTCCTTACACAAAGTAAGATATAGTCTCCTTACACAAAGTAAGATAATATCTAAAAGTAAAAGTAGTTAATTTACTTTTCAACGTCGCTCAGCGACTACAAATTAATAAGCGCATGTGTAAGAGGGCACTTCGCCTAATTGCCAATCAAGTTTACAAGATATGAACCATTATCGACTATTTTACCAATTCAACACTAAAAAGCAATGAGGGACCTTGTAACCATATATCTTGCATGCGATGGATTAATACTTAAACAAATGTAACGTGTCTAATAAATTCTGTAGTGTTTTATTAAACCAATCTTATTCCTCTTATAATAACAGTGAAAATGAGTGTTGTTGCTTTGGAAGTAAAGGTCTAGAAGTGTCCTTGCGTCTTTCGCCTTTGATTGCCGGAGGCTCATTTAGTAGAGCGACTGACTGTGGTTCAAGGTTCTATTCCTGGACAGTGCAGGTCACTAATTATTTTGAAGTGATTTGCTATGAACTCCTTTTCCCTACGGTCATTCGCATTGTACATCTACTCTGGCATGTTCAGATGTGATATTATCTTCTTGCGAAAGTGAAGACACTAGTACTAGTAATCTGCTGAAAAACCTGCCCAGGATCGATGAGTTGGCTGTACTGTGTGCTCTTGTGAATATAACGTGGCTTATGGCCGTTTTTGGAGGGTAAACTACAAAGCACTACCGCCTTTGACCGCACAGATATCACTGCACAGTTCACTGTGAACAACTTACATTTGGTTTAAGGCCAAGGTCACAGTGACACGTAGTGAAATAGCATTGCCTGCTCAAAAACTTGAAAAGAAATAATTTTAGGTTTATGAAACTTGGTATGTACATTTCAAGTGGTCAGTAGATGGCCCCTATTGATTTATGGTCATAAGGCCAAGGTCACGGTGCTACTCGGTGTAAAATCCTTGTCCGCTCAGTAACTTAGAAAGGAATAAGCATTTGTAAATCTTTGTAGGGTCATTTCCAATGGACAATAGACATGATAGAGGACACTTATTGATTTTGAGGTCATCAGGTCAAGGTCTAAAAGGGAACATTTTCTATACATGTACTCTCTGTACAGGATTTTAACCAAAAGGCATTAAGAGCCATTTCACATATTTAAGGTTTACAGGTCAATGTCACAAAGGGTACATTTTCTATACATGTACTCTCTTTATGGGATTTTAACCAAAAGGCATAAAGTGCCATTTCGCAAAAATGTCGAACACATATAGGCAATTTAAGAAATTTGATACCTATTGAAATCGACTTTGTAGTAATATCAGCTGTTAAATACATTATATACATATTGCTCATGCACAGTAACATGTCTAGCCACCGTTTGTTAGGGATTTTAGGGAAATAATTTACATCTTGTAAAATATACAATCACTATCTTGTGAAGTCTACACGATTATACATGTTATATAACTCTGAACAACAAAAATTGTGTCAGAATGAATTTAAAATGAATTTTTATCAGATCATTATCAGAAAACATTGATTAAAATTAAGATTGTCTTTTATTATAAAATGAAATTTACAGGAATGAAAGGAGTTACAGGACCTAAACTAAATTCGACTTTCGGACTCTATAAAGTCATCAAAGAAATCAAAGGAGATTGGTTCATTACACGACTGTGTTATCAGCATAAGAGACGCTACGGACGACATGATTTCTGACCGTCTAATGTTCGGGTGCAAATCTGGCAAATTCAGAGAAAGACTTATGAACGAGGGGGCTACTCTTACTATAAATAAACAATTCAGAGAGCAAAAAGCATGGAATATACAAAAAACAAATGATAACCATGGGGCACAATGATAGGTAGATGTCCACCACGTTCGGAACAAACCGAAACAGGAGGATGTACGTAAAAAACCCAACTTATCAATTGATTATATATATATATGCGGTACATTATGAACATACAAAATATCCAAACTGTCCAACGAAAGAAACAAATGTAACAACTGCGAGACGCTTAATCATGTCAAATCTCCGTGTAGATCGAATCGTGTGTATGTAGTAAAAACAACAAAGTTTACTTAAAATGACATTCACAGTGATAATGATAGTGAGGAATTCAAGAATATAAGTTTCAAAGCTGATACTGGGCCACAAGCTAACATAATGCCGCTAGCTTAATATCCACGTTTACAGCTTAAAACACCCATTTTACCCAGACAGTCAGCTGTCATTTTACACTGGTGGCCAATTACCAG